GCATCAAATTCTAAATGAGCTTTGATAAACCTAATTCAATTTAAAATGTAAAACAGAATCTTAAAAGCACGTTGAGACCAAGAAATTGCCAAGCCCCTGGTTAAATTTAATTGTAGGAGCAACTACACAAACAGAAGTATTGATGGTAGTAGTAGTAATAGATGTTGAAAAACTACCACACTTCACAGATTCCGAACATAGCACACACCTCAGTCTCAATAAACTTAGCCATGCCAACTCCCATCCGGTTTGTCATTTCAGCAATCACACGTTGATACCTATACCCTTACCACCAGGTCCACGACGTGTTACTTTAAAAGGCACAGTCAAACACACAACAGTCACTCAGCAACGTTCTTCACCTTACGATGTAAATAGATACATTACAAGTCTGCTACTGCGCTCAGCAACCAAACGGAAGAAATTGTTCAAATTCAAGTGGGGCCAAATACGATTCGACACGATATGCTGAGCGTAATCATCAGGTCAATTGCAACCTTACGCGTGGAAGAGCTAAGGAATGACCAAGAAGTTACCCCTCGTCAAGATTCAAGAAGGCATTCGACACACATTCGAATTTGTTCATCAACTCCTTGTAATCCTTCTCACCACCTGACATCCTCACATTGATGAACACGCTTAGTTTGATCCCCACAGATCGGGTGACAAGGAACAGACTCTATAGATACTGGCTAGAACCAATTTCCACTTGAGGAATCTTAGACATGCAGCAATATCTCACATGTTGACAAGAAAAGAATAACTTACTTACAAACGAACTTCCACGAAGGGTCATAAATATGCTCGTGAAACGACTTGAGGATGGGGACCTTGATGTCTATTGGAATTGCCATGTCGTCCTCTGTCAAACCAAAATATGAGTCGTACAAAATTAGAATTCTCGAATCATTTCCAGCTTCCTCCGCCAATTACGAGGATTATCGTGAATTTCAAGAACAGCTTCATCAAGTTCATCATCTATTTACTTTTGTGTGACACTCCAAAAGTTTTCATATTATTACAAGATACAATTCATAGATCCGAAATCTGTAAGTGATGCTTTCTACAGTATACGATTACAGCTTTACTTGAATATTTACTGAACTTTCATCTTTCATTAGCAATCAAATATAGGTTGACAACTCACCGATTGTATCCAGGCCTCTCAACACCAAATAGAACACACAAACCTGTAACAACATAAAGACATCAAGAGTTAATTAAGAGACAGTTGGGCATTCCTTTCAAAAAACAATATTGTCCACAAAGAAGCATTAACCGTACGTTGCCAGACCTCCTGTCCTACATGTGACGTCCAAGACAAGAACACAACCTGACGTTCTGCTTCTAAAATTATTGTCTTTTACCCAAGTTGGAAGACGTTATAGTTCCACAGGATTTACTCCAAAGTAACACAGGCAACAAAATAAGCATCCACAAGAGGGTACTAGAATGAGCAATACTTGGACCTGCCAGTAACCATGCGGAACAAACAACATTGACGACGATCGACTTGAAAATGGGTTAACTGAAAACACGCTTTGCAACATGCACTGTCCCCCATAAGAAACAAGCAAAATCCAAGAAAGGTTCCGAAATCAAGAGAGAGATGGGGCACGTACAGCATCACGAAGCTCGGTCCTCAGCTGCTGAATAACAATAGAAAAGCTGCGGGAGACGCGCATGAGCATACGGTAGCAGAACGCCAAGTAGGGGTCCTTGGGGATGGCCCGCTGCGCCCGCATTGCATCGACCTTCAGCTTCACCAGCGGCCGAATCTCGTCCGGATGCTTCACCAACGTTTCCATCAACCCCATGACGCGCGGATACCACCAACACCCCTTCTTTCCGACCAACCCAACTCTCAAAAACCAAAATTGTCAAAACAAACAAACAACCACCAATCGATACTAAAACGCGAATTTTCTCCTCGCCGTCAGCCCAGGATCAGTACGACCGATACAATGTGACGCCTCGCAAGCGTGATACAATACCAAGCAATGCAGTGATGGGATGTTGCAGAAGAGCAACGGGAAAAGGTGACGCTGGGGTGCAGTGACCGCGTGGGGTGGACAGAATACGTGCTCTCCTGCACGAGGAGGCGGAGAACGCCGTAGTTGCTGCGTCTCTCTCTCACGCTTCCCTCGCGGGGGGGCCTTGCTTTGCTATCTCTCTCACTGCTTCTTCAGCTCAGTAGCTCTTCCTTCCTTCCTTTCCTTCCTTCCCCGGGCCCTGCGCGTCCCTTGCGTCCCTCGCGTCACCCAGCGCTCGTCGCCACCAACCAGTAACGAATGCGTCGCGACGCCGCCAGGGACACGCGCTGCAGTTAGTCATCCTTGAGTTTGTTTGCATCCAAAGTTCCTATTATTGTGTGTGTGTGTTAGACAACGCGATATAAATGATTACAAATGTTTTCAAATGCTTACAAATGTTACATAGAAAACTTTTCAGACACAGTTATGCAATTTGAGTGGGTAGGAAAATACAGATTCAATTGTATTGTGTTGTCTTTTGGATATCCAAAAACAACTTGAGTAGTTTCCATCTCCATTTGGATTTACTATGTCATTCAAATGTTGTCAAGATTGGTACAACTGGATTTTCTTTTTTCTTTTTTTCTTTTTTCCTTATTTTTCATAAAATATAGTAATTTATAATTCAAGTGAGTGCTGTAATTATATTTTAATTATACTTGGTATAAATATAGCACAATAGTTTGCTTGCCATTAAGGACCACCTTTATAGAAATTTTGTAAAGAAGCAAGAATAGTTTTTTTTTTTTAGTCCCCTCTTCTAGTATGAAGAGCAAAAACATTGTTTTGTAATATGGAATATGTTGTGTTTAGTAAGCAATGGTAATATTGATAGAAAGTCTTTAAGAAGTATATTAACTTCATTGAAAAGGTTGAGATGATTAAAAATGGATGGTTAAATTTTAATCAAATTAATCTTTAGCTAGTGTAATTTCATTTTTAATTGTGCAATTTTGTATCTAAATTTCTTGAAATTAGTATCAAAATATAGTTGGAATAAGAGAATAGCAATAGAAATTTTAGATTAAAAGTATTATCAAAGATTTTATTAGTAAGAATAAATTTGGATTGTAACAAGTGAAGGTGAAAGATTTTCTTGTGTAAGAAATTTCATGAATAATTATGAGAGATTTTTCTAAAAAAAGATGAATAAACAACTGAAAGATATATTCATAAGAAAAGTAAAAATAATAAAATTGAATCTTGGAAATAAGGTATCTTATAATGATACAAGCAAGAGTTAAGCATTAAAGCTATTGATAAGTCTCAACTTATTTTGTTATTTAGAAATAACACAATAGAGCTAGAAGAGGTCATTGTGGCTTTCTTATTCAACTATATGATAACAAAATCAAATAGTGGTACTTCATATTTTAAAATATTATTGGTAGTAGACAAAATAACCAACACATGGCATACTACATTAAAAATAAATTAGGTAAAATCTAAAGATTAATTTGATAAAATAGAATAGAATAGTATTGACGGAGAATAAAATATCTTAAAATATTGTAGGAATTAAAAAAATTAAAATAAAAAAAATTATAAGATTTTAATAGCATAGATTAATATTTTTTATTTTTAAATCACAATATAATCATTTTATTCTTTCTTTTTCTTTCTTTTTCTTTCTTTTTATGAAAATAACTTTGTTGATTTAGATAGACAACAAAAGAAAAAGTTCCAAAATTTTCCTAACAAATTAAGTAGTGATTAAGAAAAAAAGATTGAAAACTAACATTAAATTATAGGAGATATTATTGTAGATATATTTCTTTTTTTGTTTAGATTTTTTTTAAATTATAATTAAATTCTAGCATACAAAAGAATAAAAAATGAATCATAAAATTATAAAATCATTGATGTTTAAAATAATTATTTTAAGATATAATTTTGAGAATATTTTTACTTAGAAAAACTTTCATAATGAGCTTTTATATTTTCGTAATTGTACTAAAAGAATGCTACACTATATGTAATCAAATGTTTAAAAGAGAATACCAATTACTTCAAAATTTAAAGGTCTAAATTTAATATTTATTTTAGATAATTATCCAAGTAATATATATATATATATATATATATATATACATACCAAAGTAAGATTTTGATATATTTACTATCTTTAAAATATAGAATCTAATGATAGAAAATTATATTAGTTAAAAAGATAAGGTATTTAAATACATATTTTTAAAATTTAAAATTCTTATTATTAGGTCTGTATTTTTATTTTTTAACTAAAATATACATAATAGGCTTCTTGCTTATTTATATCTAATTTTATACAAAAAAACGAAAAAAGAGAGAAATATTTCCTTTTTGCAAATAATATTATTTAAAATAATATTATTTTTTCAATACTATTTTATAATTTTTATTCCTTAAAAATAATTTTCTTTATTAATATATTCATGAAAAAATTATTATAAATTTAAAAATAACATAATACAAATTCTAGAAAAAATAAGAGAATTAATGATTACTATGTGTTAACTTTGAATACCACCTCAACCAATATTGTGAGTAATTAATCAAGAAGATACAAAGAAAATAAAAATTTCTTTAACAATTGTACTACCTTAAGTCATTCATATTAACACAATTGCATCAATTAGAGAATCAAGAATACATCTTTTTAAACTTTTTGATGGTATTAAATTTAAGTATTAAAGATTCATTAACTTAGTATATATCTTTATTTAATTTCAACTTCTTAGTTATTTAATCTAAGAATCTCTAATCAAGTTGATTGAAACCTTATTTAGTAAATTAATATTTTTCTTTGTTTTTATCTTTTTAAAATAATAAGACCTTATGTTAGATAATTTAGATGTTTTATTAGAAAAAAATTGATTTATTAATGGAAAACCTTATGATATTTTTGCATCAATTAATAAAACTTGCTTGATCTTCAAACATTGAGTTAAATCACTATTTTTTTTTATTGAATGTGATGATTGGTTTTACAATTTTTGATTATAATGTATTACAATAGTACCTTCATATTTCTATACTTTTACATCAAATATCTCTATTTTCTTAAGGTACACAATCAAAATTAGACAATACAAAAATTAATATGGTACAATTTAAATCTCTTAAAAGATTAAAAAAATTAAGAAATAGTAAGAAAGATTATACCTGTATTAATCTATTGACTTAAATTTCTCATATTTTTTAATTACTTGGTCCTTTTTATTTTCATATTTTTTAATAAGTTAATTATAATTAATTTTCTCAACAACAAAGATAGAATCAAAATATTATTCAAAATTATATAATTTAAAAAAAATGCATAGATAAAATATATTTAAGTTACAACTTTAGAGAAAAGTTTTAGTGCTTGGTGATATTATTGAAAATGTGCACTATACATGATGGCTTTTCAAATAGTTCATACAAAATTTGTTATAAAAAAAAATTATAATACAGCAAAAAAAACTAAAGTCATTCTTAATCTAAATAACACCTCTCTTATAATATGACTTTGAGAAAACACTCTTTAATTATCTTTTATTTTTAAGTATTTATTTTATAAATATGTCTCATATCAACTTCGTATTTTTAATTAGATCTATATTTTTAACAAGTAAATTTAGCTTTATATTCTAAATATTAAAAAAATTAGTTATCATATCAAACATCAAGAAATTTAAGGATTTTATATCAATTTTTAACTAGTAACAAAAAAATTGGTAATATTATAAAATATAAATATAAATTATTAGAAATTATAAAAATGAAAATTTGATATCAAGATAATTTTAATTTTTAATACAACATTCTTTCCTAAAATAGAACTTAGATTAAGTCTAATCTAGAATTATCAAAGAAGTTTTAAAAAACTGAAGACTAATTACTATTCAATGGTTGCTTTAATACGGTACCATTAATTCTGATAAAAACAAATATTGGAATAAACGAATATACAGTAAAAAAAAAAGTGCCATGTTTATATTTATTTCAAGTTTTTAGAAATATTTTGTGTTATATTTGTTAAAAAAATACAATTTATAAAAATAGATTTTTATAATTTTTATTTTTATTGTTATAAGAATTATTTAAAACTATCTAGCATAAAATCAAAAATTTAAGTTATATAAAAAAAAAATTAAAACTCCTTTCTATTGACATAATTAGAAAATCTAATTAAGAAACTTGTTTAATAAGACCTTTCAGTATCTTGACTAATAATATTTAAATAATAGCTATTTCTAAGAGATTTTCCTAAAAAAATAAGTTGCAAGTTAATAGAAACTTAAACCTTAAGTTTTTAATCTTACAAATAATTTGAATATAAGATAAAATTAAAAAATAATTTCTAATATAATCTTTTAGAAAATTATGTTTCTTAGGTTTCTTTATATGAAATTAATAATTTGTGATCGAAATTATGAGTTGTATCACTAAAATTACATGTTTTCATTTTTAGAATAACAAATAAATATACATATTATTTTTTTCATTTCTTTTCAAAGCATAATATAGAAATCAAATATATTTCTTTCACACTGAATATTTTTAAAATACGTCAAAATTAAAATTAGAAAAGAGATAAATACACATACACACATATAAACATATATATATATATATATATATATATATATATATATATATATATATATATAATTATGAATATATATATAGATACATGAAAATAAATTATACTAGTTAGCAATTAACTAAAAAATTAACATTTTTACATTGATATGTTTTTTTTCTTTGTATCTAAATGTTGTGATATATATATATATATATATATATATATATATTCTTTTAATAACTCAATGAGAGAATTTACTTGATTTATTCCTTTTTGTCAAGCATGGAATAATTTTGGAATAATGTTTTAGAACTCTTGGGTCCAATCTCAACCATTATCTAGTAGTTTAGAATCATTGCAAATCAACATGATATGAAATATTTCATTAAATGATATGTATCAAAAATATTTTTAAAATATAATTAGAACTAAAAATAATTATAATTTTTAAAAATAAAAAAATGTGATATCTATAAAAATTATAAAAATTATATAATATTAAAAAAATAATATTATTTAAGATTTTTAATAATATTTTTATTATTTAATTTTAATTATTTTGAATTTTTGTTAATTTTGATTTCTATGTAATTTATTA